GGGGAGCAATTTGCGTGCGCAAGGGTGGTGGGTGAGTGTGAACGCACGGGGAAACATGGCCGAGGAGGAAGAAGAGAAAGTAAGGGCGGTGCTAATAAGCCCAACATGGTGAAGGCCACAGCAATTGTGGTGTACGGGTTCTTTTTCTTTTTCTTTTTCTTTTCTTTTTGTCTATGGATGTTTGGCAAAGTCGAGGAAAACAATTTTGTTCTTGGTGGCTCTTCGGAGGAGGCGTGATGGTAATAGTTGTGCGAGGTTTTGTTTGTTTGTTTGTTTTGCTTGCTTTTTTTTTTGTTATTTTTATATTTGCTCTGCTGTTTTGGTTATTTTATTCCTCATGATGTTATAACGAAAAGTTGTGTTGTGCTTTTTTTTTGTGTCAGGGCCGCGGTGTGAGTGTGGGCGACAATTCTCGGTGTCATGTGCGACCTTGGTGCGCTTTGCGTTGGGTGCTGCGCGGCTTCGAAGGGCCGGGTTAGTTTTCCTACTTTTGCCTTCTGTTTTTTTTTCTTTTTTTCCTCCGCATCGTTAGAGCGACGGCAGCGTGAAATGTGTGTGTCGTTTGCCGGGTTTTTTTTTGTTGTTGTTGTCGTTTTTTTTTTCCCCCCGCCCACCTTCTATCGTTGAAGCGGATTTTTGAAGTTTCTATTCAAAACGCAGTTTTTTTTTTTCTTTTTCTTTTTGAATGGCATTCCGTACGACCAACATTGCGATTGCTATTGTGAATGGTCTCCGGAAAACAAAAGGGGAAAAGCGGTGAGGCGGGGAACAAGGCGCTTTGCTGACGGGATGGAAAATGAAGAGGAATTAACTGCCACCGACTTATAGCGTGAACTGCTGTTTTTCACGCATCCCAACGTTGCGCGCTCCGGCTGGGGCACGCTTCGGCGGTTTTAGCCACGGCCTTGACTCAAGTTCTCCTTTTCTTCCCCTTTTCACTTCTTTACTCACCGCTTCTAGCTGCGATGGCGTTGAGGGAAATGGCGAGTGACGGCGGACGCCGCGGCGAACGGGAACGTCGCATCCGTTAGATGTTTGTTTTGGGGGCACCTGCTGCAGCGTGATTCTTCGCCTGGTGCGGCGCCTGCGGGGGGACAGCAGGGCCACACCGGCACAGTTTGACAGGCAGTGATGGCTGCTGCGTGATAATTTGAGTGAGTCGACACCCAGCGTCCCCGTTGCCGTGTTAGTTTCTGAAATCCAATTCATGGGCGCCTGCAACACACGGGGCGTACTGTGTCGCTTCCCCCCTGTTCCTCACTGTTGGGCGTGACTTGTCGGTGTTCTCCGCCGTTTTTTTTACTCATATTATTGATACCCTTTTTTGTTTTTGTTTCCTTTTTATGTTTCTCCGTTTCTTCCGTGCACATGCGGTAAGCGTGGCCGCGCTAGTTTTTTTTTGTGTGTGTGTGTTTGTGGGATGAACTCTGGGGCGGCCGCGGGCGAAGAAGGTGGCAACAACAAAAAGAAGCGTGAAAAGAAGGGCTTCAAAGTTGATCGTCTCGAGCGTTTCCAGCGCAAACACCTCAATAGGGCGAGCATCAACGACGCCCGCAGAAACGGCGGCGGCGGAAATGTAAAGCGGGTTAAGGCGATTAAGTTTGACGAGGATGCCCGCCGCGAGTATCTTCTCACGATGCACAAATGCAAGAACGAGCGTCGTGTGAAGGCCTTTGTGGACGCGAGGCAAAAAATGAAACGCGACAACGCGAGGGTCCGGCACGCCCAACGCGAGGAGGCGCGGCAGGCCTACAACCGCTTTGCTGCTGTCCCCATCCTGCCGAACTTTACGTATCAACTGCCACAGGACGACGGTGACGTGGGGAGCGAGAGCGAAGCGGACCCCCGCGGGGAGGGCGACGCAGATGACCTCTCCAGCCGTAGACGCCGCTCTCTGCTCGCCGCAGAGAAGACGGTTCACGTTATGCCTACAGCCATGCGTGGCGAGGACGGTGAGGCGGCGGTGCCCGGCCGCAAGACCCACCTCGATGATGAATTTGTCACGGTGGAGGTGAAGCCGCTCTTTGCAAGGGCTAGGAAGGCGGGAGGCGATGGCGTGGCCGCAGCCCCGCAGCTGCCGGCCAACGACTTTTCTGACCTCCCCGCGGTGGTGGAGCAGGAACTGCTGCGGCTCAGCAAAGAAACGAAGGGGCCTGCCAAGACGAAGCCGCGTGTGCGTATGCTGAAGGAGCTTGCCAAGATCCGCAAAATCAAAAAACACTCTCAAAAGGGACACGGAAAGAAGACGGCAAAAGGCAAGAAGAAAAACCGCCGTTGACGTCAATGTTGTTCGTCCTTTGTCTTTGTGTTTTGTCGTTCTTCTCACGATTAACGGGGTGTGAGCGAAGTCTTGGAATTAAGTATAGTCTTCGTGGCACACTGATTCAATATGATTTGACGTTGCGTGCTGCAGGTCCGGTGCTCCAAATGTTTTTCTTATGCCCGATCTTTCTATCGCAACTGTTGATGTCTTTGTATTCCTCTTATTATTGCTATTATTAATTTTCTGATGCGACGGGATGGAACGCGAAGAAGTGGCACGCGACAGACTCGCACAGGC